CCCGGTTCCCCCGCTCCATTCTCCGTGTGCCCGCTGCCCATCCCGGCTCCCCAGCTCCATCCCCCCGGGGGATGCGGGGTGCTCGGCGTTCCCTTCAGCCGCTGCCCAACTTTGTTCCCCGAAGTTGCCCACCTGCAGCCGAGCCGCTCCGGCCGCCGCAGCGCTGCCCTTCCCTTCCCCGCGGAGCCGGCTCCGTTAATCCTGCGGCTCCCGAAGCTCCCGGCGCCTCTTCTGGAGCGGCGCTGGCCGCGCTCCCGGCGGCGGGGCGGGCCCGGCGCGATCTCCCGCCCACCTCTCCTCACGGCCCCGGGGCCGTACAGCCCAGCCCAGCCCTGTAAAGCCAAGCCCAGCCCAGCCCAGCCCAGCAAAGCCCGGCCCAGCCCCTCCGGACACAGCCGGGCCCGCCGGCGCCGGGGATGCTCCGCTGGCGGCGGCCGCTCCCCCGAGAACCCCTCTCGTTCCCAGGGTGGATGCGCTGCCGTGTGGGCAGAGTTGAGGCGTTATGGCTTAAATAAAAACTCCATCTCGCTTCTGGGCTGGAAGCCCAGGGAAAAAGGCAGGTTCACGTAGGTCGCTGTGCAGGAGCCGGATGGAGGTTTTATTGGATCTGGCTCCGGCTGATCGCAGCATTAGAGCGGTGTGGTGTAATTAAGACTAAGCAGAATTCCTTTAAGTCTTTTTTTCCCCCCTGTAGCAGGTAGTACTAAATTTCCTGAAACGTATATTATGTTTCGGCATCCCAAAGCACAGTAAATGTGTTATAATAAAGTGTGCATTAGCTCCCTGTGCCTCAGTTGAAGTCTGAATTTTGCCAGGGATGACAAGTCAATCATAGCATCACAGAATGGTTTGGGGCGGAAGAAACCTTAAAGCCCATCCAGTCCCACACCCATCCATGGGCAGGGACACCTCCCACTGTCCCAAACCCCAATGTCCAGCCTGGCCTGGGACACTGCCAGGGATCCAGGGGCAGCCACAGCTGCTCTGGGCACCCTGTGCCAGCCCTGCCCACCCTCCCAGGGAACAATATCCCATCCAGCCCTGCCTTCTGGCACTTTGAAGCCATTCCCTGTGTCCTGTCCCTCCATCCCTTGTCAATTGTCTCTCTCCATCTTTCCTGTTTCCCTTTCAAGGTCACCCTGAGCTCACCCCAAATCTTCTCCTGTCCAGGTGAACAATCCCAGCTGTGCCAGCCTTTCCTCCCAGCAGAGCTGCTCCATCCTCTGCTCATCCTGGAGCCTCCTCTGGGCTCTCTGCAGCAGCTCCAGGTCCCTCCTGTGCTGGGACCTTCCCAGAAAGGAGAAAGGACTTGCTGGCTGTCCTTTTGTACACAGAGAAGTTCTGGACAGAGTGGTGATGCTTTGCTGTCATGGCATAAGGAGGAAGGACACGAGGAAAACAATTTGCTTCTTCAGCAAATAAGATTTAAGTTGCTGCCACCTCCGTTTCCCTTTCTGTCCAGTAGTGTCATGAATTATTGAAATGTGCTGGCTGAGAAACAATGACATCTCCTCTGGAGATAGCAGAGACTTGACACAGCATCTGTTGAGCCAGACTTGGTGTAGGAGCCCTGACCTAAGAGATTTTTTACTTTTCCATGCATGTGCAGGTCTATAATTAAGAAATGTCCAGCACAGAAGCGTAGCCACTTCTGTAATGAAATGTGGCACTGGTCTGAGGAAGGGATGTCAAAAAATAAATCATCTCAGGAAAACAAGATGCATTTTTAATTGGCAGAGTGCGATCAAATAGGACTCGTAGAGATGACAGAATTGCAGGGATTTAATGAGTTCCCATGAGCTGAGCATTGAGATTTGTACCAGCAAGGTCCAGCTCAGCCCTGGCATGGAGCAGGAGGGTGCTCTCAGCCTTTTTGGAGCTGGTGTAGCACAGTCTGATAACTCCACCATATCTCTGAAAACTGGAGTCTGAAACTCCACTTTGGGCTTTTGCCTGGAAGAGAACACTAACTTTCAGTTATTATTGCACAAAGTCTTAGCTAGGACTGGGCTCAAGCCTTAGCTCCCCAGAAAGCTCAGCTCAGGTGTGAGCACAGTGGCTGTGAACTCCTCTGTGGGGCAGTGCCTGAGCAGGAGCAAACCCCAAAAGCAGATTTAGCCTCCTCAGAGCTCTGCTGGTCACATATTCACAACACCCTTATGAGTCTTATGAGAGCTGACAAGGTCAGGGACCTGTGGCACAGCTCTCCACATGGAAATATCAGCTTTAGCTGTGCAAGGCCAGCGTGAGAAGGATAGCCTGTATTTTTATGCTTGACCAAACACAGGGGCTGTTCAAATTTTAAAAATGCATCCTGCAACTTGCCTTGCCTCGTGTCCTCTGTCACTTCCAGTCCAGCCCCATCTTTGGACTCCTTTGGCCAACTAATATATTTTTTCAATTTCAGTTAGGGACTTCAAACTCATATCATAGGTATCAAGTTGGGCCACATAAAAGATGCTTTTATTTTAAGTTTGTCAGACAGGCACTTTATGAGATTGTGAAGTTGAAAAGATGACTCTAATCTTTAAGATGACAAGTTAAAAAGGACAAAACCTGCTCTTCCCCTCACTTATTTTCCAGCAAGCCAGGCATGCAGAAATAGTGGGTCTGTAAGTGCTTTTCCTGTATTCATTTCAGAAAACACAGCAAAGCTGCAGTATCACCATATACTTACTGAAGGGAAGCAATTTGCAGACAGTGAATTCTCTGAGGTTACCTGGAAGGATTTCACACAGCCCCCGAGCCTGTGCTGCCCTTCTGCCACCCAGGGCTTCTGAACCCACTGCAATATTCACATTCAATGATAACAACTGAATTGCCAGCCTCACGCTCCTTCCAGCTAATGATGTTGTTTTTTTTTTCATTTCCACTTGTCATTCAGACATCACTGTCGACAGCTCTCTGAAATTACATGTGAAGAGCAGCAGTGCTTCTACTCTACTGTTGTCTAATTAATGCTTCCTAGGAATCAAAGTGGGGAAAAAAACCCTGCACAGGTGTAAGCAGGTACATGAAGATTGTATTTAAACTTCCCAATTAATAATTTGTTTTGAAGACCTGGCTTAACCCTGTCCATCCTGATGGAAGCTGGTGTAGACCTAAACCATCTACTGAGCTCTTGCTGCTATTAACTGCACCCTCTCACTGTTCTCTGCTTTAGTTGCAGAAAACTAAAATTCTCTCTTACTTCTAAGCAATTTTTCCATGTTCATGTTTTCACCACATGGATTGCCCATATAACTTTTGTGTCCTGCTTTGACAAACCCTATTTTTTTTCAAATTTTAGATGGGAATTTAGCCACCGGTGACAAGCAGACTCAGATACACTGTAAATTTCTCCAGAAAAAAAAAAAAAAATCAATCAGTGCTTTTCTCCCAGCTGCTTTAGCTTTTGAAGAGCTTCTCATACCATTGGCAGAAATACCAAGTAACTCACCTCAAGCTTAAGATGAACTAGATTTGTAAACCATCTCTAGGACATTGCCAAAGTGAGATCTTGCCAATGGGGCTCAATGGACCATTAGTCTGGTCTTACCAGACAATCATTATCAGTTTCAATTAACTGAAACCGCCACTAGAAAGTAGAACATTAAAAATAAATTCAAAACCTGTTGAAAATTTAGTTTGCAGTCCTTCTAGGTGTAAAGGTGAGAGCAGCCCACCTTTTCCAATCACACTTTCAGGCATAATAGTGTCAGTGGCAAAAATATATGGACAAAATATAGGATGCTTTGGATGCAGTTAAATGAGTAGAACATCGACTCTTTCTGCTTGTACTTACGGGGTTCTTATTTAAACAGAAGTACTTAATGTCAATTTAATCTTCCTAATTTTTAAGTGACGCTTCTCTCCTTAAGCTGACACTGATTCCAACTGATCTGAGGCCTTGATCTGCAGGCACAGAGATTGTGCATTTCTTTCTAGATTGAGGTCAGCTGTAAAACCTGGGAGGTATTTTTTGGATTATCTGTATCATAAGCCAAGGGGAGGTTCCTTGGTGTGGTGGTGCCACAGGATAAGCTGCATTCACTCCCTTGCCTGGTCCACGGTCACCAACACTGGCCCCAACATCAGCCATGCTCCCCGTGCCCATGGCCAGCTGGATTTTGCCCCCACTTTGGATAATCCTGCTCTCCACAGGCCTGGGAGGTGTTATCTCAAAATAATTCTGTTCTCAGAAGCAGCCAGCACAGCTCTGGTTCAGTTCCACTGAATTCAATGGTAACACTTTTGGCATTGAACCCAATTGATTAAATCACCAAGCATCTTAAAATTCCCATTTCATTGCCTCCAGGAGCTGCTGCTCGTGCTAATAAATGGAAAGTGCAACTGGTGTTGGGAGCAGCAGGAGGGAAGGGCCAGAAGGGGGAGGCTTAATGAGAGACCCTGTCTGTATTAAGGAAATTAATTCTGTGGCTGGATTAAAGTGCAGCACTGGAAGCCTCACTTTGCCCTGACAGAGTCTGCATTTAAGGGTTTACACCTCTGTAATAACCCCAGTGGTGTTGTGTGGATGCAAATGTCCTTAATGCAGGCAGGACCTGCAGCAGGCCACGGTGACTATTCCAAAACCCATCAAAGAAAGTGGAATATGTGCAATTGTGCTGGAGAGCATCACACAGAAAGAAAATTATAATAGGAAGGTTAAGTACCCAGCGAGTGCAAACTGATATACAATATCTTGAAATCACAGAGAAAGAAAATTAAAATGAGGAAATGATTTCACATATAGGTAGGTGGAGGCATTAAAGCAATCTATGAACTCTGGGAAGGAGAGCAATGAGAGGGGTGCTCTCAGATGTGCAGCCTTTTGCCCATCAGAAAGAAATGATTGAAGGCTAATTCCAATAAACAGGCAATTTTAGTTTTGCCATTATTTCAGGGTTGGTTTTTCTGACTCTGCTTTTGTGTGTCGTTGAAATATTTGTGTATTAATAGCTACTCATTTTAATGGCATTACAGTAATTTGAACATCTGCAGCTACCAGGCATTAAAATACGATCACTCCCCTATATTTCAAGTTATTTTTGCAGTACTGCTGCCTGATTTTGTCACATCCATTAAAATGCAAGGGATCAGTTCTTATCATTACCCATTAACTGGCAACCTTGAGCTGAAGTGTTCAGCAGGAACCAGCCTGGTGCCTG